CATCGTCTTAAATTAATTATCTGATGAACACACGATTCTTATAGATATATCATCAATTATTATTATTTACATGACATGCAGGAATTTTATTAATTAAAAACAAATCGAGTTAAGTTAATTGATCGTAAATTAGGAAATTATAAATTTTTTCGCCCGACAGATATCAATATTTATTTTCATTTTAACGCGTTTTTGGTTTTTTCAATTCTATCCAAAAATTCTTTAATCTAATTCGGATTTCAAAAAGATGCTGAATCGAAAGAAAATTGTTATAAAAGAACGAGAAATTTCTCAGAATCAAAACTTATGTCCTTTTCTTCAATAATTAATTAACAATAATAAATATATATAATCTATAACTGAAAATGAATGAAATTATATCAAACCCTTCTTCATTTTTTATCATAAATAAACATCCTAAAAAATATCTTATTAATTCTTATTCATGCGATAAAAATTATTTTCACAATAACGTTGAAATGAATAAGAACTTATATTTATATACACAAAAAAATTTTCTTAATTCAATTCCGCCTTATATCTCATATTCGAATAATTATCATTATGATGTGTTTAATCATGGGAAAGCAAATCAGCCTTCCAAAGTATTTCTATGGATTGATTTTATTGATGATGTAGAAAGTTTTGTATTGGAAGATTCCATGAAAATTTACGAGAAACCGATTGATGTCCCATTTTCAAATGTCCCAGTTGAAAACAAAATTGATATAATCAAAGCTTTTGAATTACAAATTATCAGAATGCTGGAAACCGTTTTTAATTCCACAGCCAACATTAATCGTAATAATAATAATCGTGCAAGTAACTTGAAATTTAAAAAAATGGAATCTTACACCGGCTGTAATTTAATTGATTGGAAAATAATCGATAATAGTGATGCGGACGAGAGGGGTGGTGGTGGTGATGATGGTGATGATGATGATGATGATAATGATAATGATGATGAAAACCAGAAAGTTATTGCGGTACTGGCATTGAGATCAAAACGTGTATTATCAATGAATGATAAAAATAGTATTATGAATTCTTATTATGCAAAAACAAATGATTTTTACGAGAATGTTAATGAAGTTTATGATTTTATGATGAAATTAAATGCTTCTTACGGGATATTATCAACTTATGAATATACTTGGTTTATCAAAAAAATTACCGATGAAAACAGCGGAAAATCGAATATATTTATATCAAACACGTTGAAATACGATTCAACCAATCCAACTATTCTTCATTCGTTTTTTTATTTTTTAAATTTGGCAAAACAAAATTAATTTGTTACATAGAAAAAATATTTTTTTGTGGGCGGGTGGAAAAATTTTATAATAATAAGGATCATTTAAGTTTATAAGCACACTATAAGTAAATTAGCTAAGACTCATTTAAGTTTAAGTTTTTAAAAAAAATTGGTGATGGTAGCAAACAAACTTAAGATTTTAAGATTTAAAAAATTGCGTTTATATATATGCATTATTTTATTGTTGTTGTTATATATTTTTCGTAGACGATTTTAATCAATTTTTGTAATTTACTTTCAAGAAATCAAATAAAAATTAAAATAACTTTAAAATCATATGTAATCTTCTCGTTGGCTGTGGCGAATCACCATCACAGCCAACTTCTTTTTTCAAATGCAAGGCGATTTCACTCAAAGACTCACAAACTGGTGTTGATTACCCTTGTAGAATACTGTGCCCAGATGGAAGGAAAGATGCAATTTAATTTTCTACACAATTACAATTACTACTATTGCAAACCTGCAATAATTAGGTTTTATGTAACAACAAGTGAAAAAAAAATATTAATATTAATATGAAACGAGTGCAAAATAATACGTTAATTATGTTAAACCTTTTAAAAAAAACAATAATACTGACCTCTTACATTGAACCTATACTAAGTACAAGCCCTACATAGACAGCCTACAATAAGGTGTCTCGGGTGTAAGTCCCAACGTCGCGAACGACTCTTGTTGTTTTTCTGTAATATACTTCAAAAGTATATTTCGAGCTCCGTTTACATCTCTATTAATGGTGGATTTGCAAGATGTACAATTAAAGATCTTTGAACCGCCCAAATTTGACTTGATGACTCCACAACATCCACATGTTTTGCTGGTGTATTCCCCAGTGCAGATGATGACCTTGAACCAAGGGTACTCGCAGGATTTGTGGAGCAAACGTTGGCGAAAACGGTAATGTGACCATATTTGAATATATATAATTTATTTCGTAATTATTTTGGATACCTGTATTTATTTTGAATATAATCCATTCAAACATTTGTTATGATAATATTGTAACAATTCACGGTTGATAACAAATAGCATTAACTTATTTGTAACAAACATTTTTCAAAGATAATAAAAATAACATATTTTTAAAACAATTAAAATATTTATGCAGAAAACATTTTCATTTAAAAATTAATTTTTTCAAAACCCAAAATTTTTTGATATAAACAATCAAATTGATGATGTCTAAAAAGAAATAATAATAGTTCGTTGGAATACAAATATCTGAAATAATGAGCATTCAAAATGAGTATCCAAAAATAATTACGAGTAGTATCCGAAATAATCACGAGTATCCAAAATAATATATTAATATTAATATGGAGTTATAATTACGGTTAGGAACCTTAATTAATACACAAAAAGGAAAAATGTGGGCAGGAGATTATCAAGAGTAATGACCAAAGAGATATTAATTTCCAAATGCGGTAATTTGGTTGATAAACTTTAACACCAAGATTTTTTCTACTTTATTTTATTAATAACCTTCCCTAAATTTTTCTAAAAGAAGGAATAAGTCCTGAAAATCTGTGTCTCAAATTTTGCTGAGCAAAAAAGGATTAAAGTTAAGGTTTGTGGCTAATTTTTATTAATAGAATTTCGATGTTGATCACCAAAAAATTTCACTTTCCAATTGAATCAATATTAGTTATTATTATATAGAAAATGGGGATTCTTTGAAGCTCATTGTGATCTACACAATGTTAATAATATTCTTTAGAAAATTATCATGCCCAGCTGATCAAAAATCAGCATTGGATTGAACCAGAAGTATTAAATTGCAATAGCATCTGACATTTACAGTGTGTGTTTACATATCTCAACAATTACACAACATAGTTGAATAAAATTGGATTCATTTGAAAGCTTTATCATTTACTTTATTAAAATAATAAAAAACGAACATGAAATGCTATTGCCAATTTTCTGTAAAGCTAATTGATATATTTTTTTTAGGACTTTGCTAAATTTTTGTCCCTGAAATTTTAACATGGAATTTTTTAATGATAGCTCTGACACAAGCATATACATAATATTATACAAAAAACTATACCAGTCTGTAGCAAAAGTTCTGGAGATTATGCGTATTAAGTTTCACACTCCAGATTTTCTAGAATGTTGTCAATTGAAAATAAAAGGAATTTGATTATTTGAAAAAACCATTCAAATATGTAAATTTCTTTAATAATTGCTCTAATGCCTACATAAAAATATACTTCAAAACTTTTCTATATTATAATCTAAGCTCTTCCGATTCTCTGGTATAATTTTTATTTGGCTACTTTTTCATTAAAAACAATATTTTACAAACCGCCATTTTTTTTTGAAATACACTGTATAGTTTTGGAGTTCTAATGCCATTAATCTCAACATGTTATAATCAATCAATACAGTAACTCCTATACATAAAGAAATATAATTAATATAACATAATAATTGATCTATATATACAGGTAGTGATGTTAGCCGATAGAAAATCTTAGCCGGCTAAGAACTTAATAAGTCCCAGCTGATGAAAAACTTTTCAGATGGTACTAAGCTTGCCAATATTATTATTGTTACTACTATCGTTATTATTACTACAATATAATTATCATTATGATCATAATATCTCGATTTAATGGTTCAAAGTTATTCGAATTATTTATGAATTTGAGTATTCGAATTATAAAATGAATAAAACAAATAATTCGAATAAAATGAATTGAATTAAATAAAAATTTATATTACGAATAGAAACTCCAACTATGACTTTTATCCTGCTATGGTGTATTGTAATTTGTTTTTTTGAATTTTTTTTTTTTGTAATTCTAAGTAATGCAAGTGAACTCGGCTCAACTAAATTTCTATGCCACTGAATTCTGCACTAAAACTCCAGATGTAAAAATGAATGTTATTAGCCGGCTAACATCACCATATACAGGTATACAGGTCAACAGCCTTTCAGTAATCTTCCATGTGGTCTAGACCTTGCTATAAAAATATGTAAAAAGTTGAGACCTGGTTTTTCAACAACTATAGATGAATTAGCATACAGAGGTAAAGAAACTTTCCTTGATTCTCACCTATTGCTATAACCATTTACCCAAATGCTGTTTACACTGGTAGGTTTTTGGATAATAGTAATTATTTTATTTTTACAAATAAATAACTTTCATTGAAAACTCTGTCAGTAATTGATAGTATCTACTCTTTGAAGTCGAGTTGTTATTATTTACGTGTGTCACAAAACAAATTTACAAGAAATAAAGCCGCACTTTTCTATTCAAGGTCTTGATGTATTTCATTGTAGCTGTTAAATGAAACGTAATGATCAAGACTTTTTGTATATACTCTCTCCTTCATGTCTTTTCTTAAAAAACAGAAAGCATAAATGAAATTGGGGAAAATTTTGATTTTTAAAAGAAAACGAGAAATTAATAAAAAAATTATTTGATGAAATAGATAAATTTCCTTTGATTCTTCCAACAATTCACCTAAATACCATCCATCAATTCTAATAAAATCACAATTATTGATAATTACAATAGTTTTTTTATTTTATATTTACGGATTGATTTTTAACGAGTTAAGTGCTTATTTGTTTTATTGGTAAAATGAAACACAAATGTCATTTTCTTTTAAAAAAATTCTAATATTCTAATATATGTATTATATATTACAAACAATAAGAAAATATTACAACATTTTAAAAGTTTTTGGATAAAATAGAATGATATCTTTGCATATAAGCACCATATGTACTTATCTTAATTGTAAATACTTTGAGGCCATTAGCAGCCACCATAAGATCAGTCAAAGGTATTAAATATTTATACATTACTTTATTATCTACAGGATTTATAAAATATTCGTAAGGTTTAAGTTGATCAGTGTAATCAGGGAGCATTTTCAGACAAGGAAATTCTTCCAGGAATACTTTCATTGATTCATGGTTTCTATCAAGATCACTGGCCACATATAATATTCTATTTTTCTCGTCCCTAGGTTCAGTAAAATTAAGCGGACATTCTTCCAAAGATGACGAGTATCTTGAGACTTCTGGAAATTCTTTGTTGATATTTTCTATTAAATTGGCAAAATTTATTTCTCTTCCTCTCCTAAAATCGCTATCACCACCTCTGGCATGAACTGAAATATATTTGCCAGCACCACCCAATTTTTCAACTATAGAAGACACCACACTTAACATTGATGGATTGATTGGTACAAGTGATTGCTTTAATTCTTTAAAAAACTCTCTTGATGGTGTCAAACGAAGCATAACTCTATGTGAGCCAAATAAACTGCCAAAATACAAAAGCTTTTCGGGACGTTTCTTGAGTTCTTCTAATGATTGAGGTATTATAAGATTGCCACCCTTGATATTGTCAAGGTCTGGTTTTGTTTCAGTGTCATATAATACATTATTTTGTTTACTGGTAATTGAGAAATATGCTTCTTTTCTTGGCTCGGTGATATTTAACATTTCAAAAATTGTTTGATCATTGTAATTTGGTATATTGATGACTTTTACATGTTGTCTGATAAATGTAAAGTCGAATATTTGGTCAAATGGATAAAGTGTGTATGAACTATGGAACGTTTGGCATTTTTGTTTTTTAGCCTTCGCCTTTATATTTCCGCAAATTGAATCAACAGGTTCAGCCTTTAGATGTTTTGCCATGCGTTTTATATCATTGTATGGAAATCTAATTCCAAGTAGAGCAGGTGGTAGGATTAATGTTCTATTAAGGGACCAAGCCACAACTATAGCATTTTCTAATCCTCTTACTTGATTATGAAATCCATTATGGGGCATAAATGTCATATATTTCTCGCCTTTGTCCTTGCTTAAGTTGTCAAGATAATCTGTTCCATTGTTATCACTATCATCATCATTATTATTATTATCATTATTGTTATCATTATTATTATCATTATTATTATTATTGCTATTATGATTAATATCGATAATAACGATAACAGAGTGATTTTTGTGTGTGATTATGGTTTCATTGGGTGATATTAGCAATAATTTGTCATATGAATTCAATAATGTGTTTGAAAATATTATTTCGAATAAAATAAAACATGAAATGGCTATCAATATAAAATATTTTGATAAGTGTTTGATTTCCAAATTATTATCTGGTTTGGTGTTAATCCCACCATCACCATCATCATTATTAATATTTTCTGATTTTAATAGCGGCGTTAGCAAAGACATTTTTTTTTTAAAATAAGGAACAGATTTTAAAAAAAGAAAAAAATTCGGTGACTTTTTTTTTAGGTTTATAGTTATCAATCAATTGACTTATTTTATACACCATTATTATTATTATTTACTGTTCGTGGTCGCCTTTATATTGACGTATTTGTAATTTGAATTCCTAATTATGCAAACATTATTTATCGGGAGCGGCGGATCTTTCTTAATAGGGAAATTTTGAATTATTTATAAATAGATTTTACACAACTATAGCCTCTTTCGTTTTTTATTTATTCTTTCCATTCGTATTTTATTTATTAAATTCGTGCCATTAAGTGTGCTCACATATTTGCCGAAGCTTTTTAGGTACAAGAAAGAAGAAATAGGCAGGATAATTCGTAAAATAGATTAATTGACGAGAATTGCACATAAAAACTTGCAATTAATCAATGTGTTGAACTCGAAATTGACTAAAAAGTTACGTAGTTCACATCAAAATACTATTGAGATTGCTTTTATACAATCACAAAAGACCGGTATTTGGGACTACCCTAAACTTTGAATATAATGTATATATAGGACCTTTTCCAGCAAAAACCGTCTCTGAGATCATCTTTACTATTTTAGTACAAGTGAGTTTCGGTTCAAAACCAAATTTTTCTATAATAGGCCGTTCAAATTTAATTATTTGTTTAACATCCTTTTTTTAAAAATTAAGAGGCAGAGAATAATTATCATAATATTTGCAAACCTGCTGTAATGCAAATTTATTGTATAATATGTAACACCATATTAGAACTTAATTACAGTAGGCATGTTCGAAAAATATCAATTTACGTCACATGAGGCTTCATCTTTCCAGTTAGTAAAAGAAATTAAGATGAAAACCTATAGCTAGACATCCTTTTCGGTATCAACGATTAACATATTCTTGTTAGGAATCAAAAAAAAATTGAGATTCGCACAAGCCAACTAATATATGAAAAATATTAGTATGTCGAGACCATTTATATAAAAATACTAATACTGTGTATAGAGCTCGATCTGTCACGAGCACTAAAAAAAGATTTGGATCTATAAGGCCAGAACAAAAAAAACAAATTATATGATTTTAAGATAGATAATAACAGCACGAGCTGCTCGGAGATCTGGATATTATGTAGCATGTGGTGTGGCATCAACAAGTAATCAGAATAGAAGCAATAAAAATGATATATCTTATTGAATTGAGATCAGATTCAAAGAAATTGTATCAAGCTCAAGAACACGACTCGAATGTCCTCACGTTGTTCACTATCAATTTTCAAATCCGGTTTTTCAAATACGTTTAGCTATCAAAGCAAAACGTGTTGTTATTATAGATTTTGCTTTGTTAACACCACACTTGGTTTATCAATTAGGAGATAAATATTTGATGAAAGGTATGAAGCAAATTCTTTCTTAACTACTCTCATATATGATTAATGGACTTCAATAAATATAATAACATGGTTTTAACTGGAGGCTCAGATGGTATTATTATATTGTGGGACATTCAATAAAATTAGTTGGTGCGTCAACAGAACGTGTTTATTTATCAAACTGTATTGAATAATGGGGAAAATATTAGATCTTATAATGAATGCAAATTTAATTAATATCTTTTTTATTGATTGTTAAATATCAGTAGTAAAAAATCTTTTTTAACAAGAGGCTATATTTCTTAGAGACCTAAAGAATATATATTATGTTTAAAATGATTTATAACTATAATAATAATAATTGTTATTACCATCATCATTATCTACCGTAAGTAGGTATAATGCTTTTTAATGCATCAACCAAATTTTGATTCTTGGAACATTCTAAATCTTCCTTGAATTTTGTTCGACATTCTGGACACTTTTTACCATAATATTTTACAGATTGTTTTATGCATTCATTACAAATACTATGTGTGCATGGTGTAGTCACAGGATCCTCTAACAACTCATGACATACTGGACATTTGAAATGTTTTTCAACAAGACTTGAAATCAAATCAGCTAAAGTTTCATATTCTGATCTCAATACAGTGTTCCAAACACGTTTGTTCAATATATCTTTCTTTATCAATTTCAAAGTATCACTGGGCAACTTGTAGTTTGAAGCTTTCCTAGCCTTCTTATTTTTTGACGTTGACAAGGAACTTTTCCCAGAAATTTCTTCAGTTGTTAAACTATGTTTTCTATTATCTTTGCATTCCTCTGGCATATACATTTTTAATCCTAAATCTATTATTCTTTTCATTCCTTCCGGAGTCCAAGGAGCTGGTTCAGTGTCGTCACGTCGCATAAAAAATCTCCAAACAATAAAACCAGATGTTCCTTTTTCAGGCCAATACTTTAAAAACCAAAATTATATAAGTTTTTAAAATTAAATTGTAACATATACATAATCAACCCGTTAAACCGAAGACCACTTTTCTTCGGATTAACGAGATAATTTAAAATAGAAGTGGTTTCAAAAAAATCTAAAAAAAAAAAAACGGTTTAACGGGGTCTAGGTAAAAGGCTACGGTTTAACGGACATATAATTTGGCTTTGTGCTTTTAAAAAAGTTCGTTTTTCGGATTTACGGAGTTGACTATGTATATATAAATTAAAATTACCACTTTACCTTGACTACTTTGTAGATTCCATCATAACGAACTCCTTCATCAGGTGCATATTGTGGATTATGTTTTTTCAATTTATCTGTACGACAAACTCTAATTGGTTTACTTTTTGTCCAATCTTTTGCTTCAGCACCTTCATTTTTATTAATTGGTGCGTCACATGTTAATGCAAGCGCTTCATTTTGTTTTGTAAGTTCTTGATCACTTGATTGCTCAGCAGTTCGTTTATTACCAGTTTTCAAATCTCTCCCACCACTGCCAGTATATGTGAACTCTTCACCATTATCTTTATCTTCAGGATACCCACCTCCGAGAACAATTGAAACAGCACCTACACGTGCTTTTCCTGCTATACCCGAAACCGGTGGACTAATATTTGTGTAAAATTATTATATATGGTATAGATAAATATAAACACATATGCGTGTATGTATATTCTTTGATCAACTCACCGATGTACTCCAGATTCAGAACAATTTATACGATACTTCCAAGATGAGCCAACAGGAATTCCAGGTATTGGTCCAAAATGATCAGGACCAACAATTTCACATTTTTTGGTTAAACCAACACAAGCCATACCACCTCCCCATTTTTTTGTCTGAGTAGCAGAATGCATTTTTGATTTTTTGGAATTAGTTAAATCCAATTTCTGTCCTGCCAAAATTACTTTACTGTTATCATTTTTACACACGTCACAAAACCTTATTATTATTAAAAATAAAATTTCTTTTAAAAAAAAAAAAGTAAATAAAAAAATGAATACGAGTAGATTTGCGATAATTACCAATCATCTTTAGGAAGTGATGTCATTCGAGGTTTTAAGCACCTAAAATGAAAATAGTATTGACATTCATCACAAACAACAGTAGATTCTTCTTCGCCTTTTCCTCCACAAACATTACATCCACAATCCTTACATTTTTTTTTTTTATTATTATTACATTTATCACAATAAAAATAATCCTCAAATTCTCCAAATTCTTCAAATCCTTCAAATCCTTCAAAAACATTGTTCTGATTTGATAATGGTACTGGTGGTATTGTTTCTTCTACTATTGCTACGATAGGTATTTTAACAGAAATATTGTTATCAAGTTTAGTTACTTTTTGTTTAATCGGATCTTGCTGAAAAAGTAACACGGTGTTAGTGTTTTTGATTCCATAATGAAAGAGTGTATGACCGTTTTCGAGCTATGTATAATAAAAAAAAGAATTTTATATACATATATGTATAATGGTGAAAAATATGTGTACATATAATTTAACACGCGTAATGATTTATTTACCTGTTTTCCACCAAAAAATAGTCTTTGCTTCTCTGGTGAATATTTTATTCCTAATCTTTCTGCTATTTTATTTCTAAGTTCCTTAATATCATCAGTTGGTTTACATTCAGTTTTAACATTTTTTTCCTCACATCTAACGTAAATGAACATCTTTTTTTTTTTTCTATTGCTATCTCAAACCCCTTGAATATAGAATATATAGTGAATCTCGATTTAACTAGTACAAATTTAGAAACTTTCTGCAGTAACATCCAATCAAATTCCTTTTTTTTGCAGATAGTTTCTAATTTTGTACTAGTTAAATATTCATTAAATCGAGATCATTGGAATACTCGTGCAATACTTATTATTATTATTTTTATCATATTAATACTTTTACTTTTGGATAATCATCATAATCATAATCATCAATTGTCCTTCTGATTCTAACTGTTGGATGAAATTTATAAAATAATCTCTAAGATGTTTAAGAAATAAAGTAATATATACTTTTTGTCTGGAAGTATACTGTAAGATTTTTAATAATTGGTTTGATCCCAAATATAGCATTCTCAAAGTCTTTCATGCTTTGTCAAAGTTTTGTGTTTTTTTATTTGACGGTCTACTCTCAATCTATCTTTGGTAATGGACTCTTATCATTAATTAAGGAAATTTTATCAATTTTAAGTATTACAAACATTCGGGTATTACGATATTCGAAAGTATTACTATTACGAATATTCGAAAGTATTACGATATTCGAAGGTATTAACGAATATTCGAAAGAATTACGATACTCGTAATAGGAACACTATTATGGATAATCAATTGGGCTGCACAAGTTTGGTCATACAATATCCGGAGAAATATACCAATTATAACTACTACGTACTTGGCGAAATTCAAACTAACTAAAAGGCAATCTAAATAAAGAGGTAATTCTTTTAAGCAAAATTGACATTGATTTGGTAATTATTTTTATCTACGCGAGTCACTTTAATTGATTGGTGCTTAGAAACAAAACTAACATTATTGTTATTAACAAGGGAACTTTTGCTCCTGAAATTTCTTTGTAACATCAATATTCACTTTGTCTGGTTTTGTTGCAGTACGCTTTATATGTACCTGATGCGGACATTTTCCGGTAGGCTTATCTTATTCCTTTGGCCACGGTGGAACAGGATAACACGGAAAATTCGCTAAAATTATCCAGAAAGATTTCCCCGAACAGTAATATATACTCTTTTGTACAACTTCCTGCTCATATAAAAATAAAAATAAAAATTCACATTAAATTTTTGTAATATTATATGTAAATAGATTGGTCAACCAACCGATTTTGGTCTGGTCAATTGCCATTATTAAAATACTAAATATGGTTATATGTGATTTTCCAGATAATGTTGAATTTGTGTTGAGAATCCCTTTATGAGATCTGATGAGAATAATATTAATAAGCGGGTGTATCTTTTATTTTATTTTTTCAATAATCTATTCAATATTAGAAATCCAAGTAAAAAAATATAGCATCACAATAAATTACAGGTTGATTTTTATATTTTGATAATTGAAAAAAAAAAATAATGTAAGGAAATTTTTTTTCCTAAATAAATAAAATAATTAAACAATCTTAATTGGTTAATTAACTAATTAATAATATATGTATTTATTTCTCTACAAATTAGAAATAACTTCATGTGTAAATTCTGTCGTTTTAGAATTACCACCCATATCAGGAGTTTTGGCCTAAATTATAATCAATTTATTTATTTTTAGATTTTTAAAAAAGAAAATAAAGATAATAATTTATTGCATTAATCAATCATGAATAATCATACCGATCCATGTAGCACCGTTTTAATTACTGCATCATAAATTCTGCTAGCATAATCATCAAGTCCTAAATGTCTTAACAACAATACTCCTGAAAGAATAAATGCTGTTGGATTAGCTTTATTATCCCCTTCAATATCTCTAGCTACATGACGTGTGCCCTAAGTATTTTTTTATAGAATAAATTATAAATTATTCATTTTTTATTAAAAATAAAAAAAAAAAAAACAAGTCTTACCGGTTCAAATAATACAAATTCTCTACCTATATTTGCACCTGGAACAATACCCGGTCCACCAACCAATGCTGTACCGATATTGCTTACAACTGCTCCATACAAATTAGGCATTACCATAACATCGAATTGTTGTGGTCTGGATACAAGTTGCATAGAACAATTATCAACTATCATATCATTAAATACAATTCCTGATGATTTATAATCTTCTGAAATTTTACGACACGTATTTAAAAATAATCCATCTCCAAGTTTCCTATAGAGAAATATAAAATAAAATGAATGCAAACGTGAGGGTGATTAGTATTTTTGATAATTTAATATATATATATATAAATATAAATTATTTTCAATTGTTTAAGAAAATTATACATGATGTTGGCTTTATGGACGCATGTAACTCTTTTACGTCCATTTTTAAGTGCAAAATCGAATGCAAATCGTGCAATGCGTTCAGTTTTTTCTCTAGTTGTAATTTTCAATGATTCCACTACTCCTGGATATGACTATCAAAAGCAAATAATGATGATAATGATGATGATGATCATTGTTATTAATACATTTATAATTGTGTATATTTTATTTGTATGTAAAATACCTGATGTTCTAGTCCTGAATATTCTCCTTCAGTATTCTCACGGATAAGAACAAAATCTACATCACTATGACGTGTTGGGTATCCTTTAATATTTTTTATTAATACCAATGATGCATAAATATCTAAATCTTTAAGCATTGCAACATTAAAAGATGGATGATCATCTTTTTTTAAGGATGTATAGATTGCTCCTTCAACCACCAACCAATCAATCAGTTGATTAGAAAAATATTAATATTAATACAATTCAATATTTATTTATAATAATTTCAAAAAAACCACATTAACACATACCTTTTAATGCAACTTTATTTCTTCTTAAACTTTCCAGACTTTGTTGAAATAACAAATCACTATCTTTAGTATACCCAGTAACATTATACTGTTCCCATTCGATTGGAACATTGGCTCCTTTGAATACTGCTTTAACTGATTCTGCAATCTCTGGTCCAATACCATCTCCTGGAATCAATGTCACAGTATGCTTTCTTCCATGTTTAGTGGTATAATCCTAAATACCAAAAAATATGATTTAAATGATTATTGATGATTTATATATGTATGCGTAATGTGCTTATTGATTGACTGATTATATTTTTTTCTTTTTAATAATAATTTAAAGTTGAATATTTACCTTGGCGGTTGGCAAAGCTAAACTACGAAAATTCTATTTATTTTTTTTTTTTTCAAATAAAATAATATTATATATATATATATATTATAATAACCAACCAATCATCAAGCAAGCAAGCAATCGAGTAAAAGATTATTTATTTACTTGTTTTATTCCATTAAAAATAATTGGAAAAGGTTTTCTAGTTATTGAGTTCAACATTTTCGTTAATTATTAATTATTATTTTTTTTTTATCATAATAAAGATCATCACATGTCAAAAACAAAAGTAATATATGTATATATATATATAGTTATGACATTTGGAATTGTTTAATTGAAATAATATTTTATTTATTTTAAGCCCAAGATAAAAAAAATAAAATATTATTTGAAAAATATGGAAAAATATTAAATTTTTCAAATCTAAAGATTTTCACTTAACAAGAAAATGGAGATTTAATTAAAAATAAATAGCTAATTAAACTAAATATACAAGTATTATGCGAACGTTGCAGGAAAAAAATTAACTGATGAATGTGGAAAATGATGAAATTTCTAGATTCCTTTATTATGGGTGTAGATTAAATTATAAAAATGATATTCGATGGATTCCATTTAAAGAGTTTAGAAATATTGAATGTTTAGCCAAAGGCGGTTTCGGAAAAGTTCATAAAGAAACTTGTATTAAGAAATAACATTATAAATGTAAAGAATTCAACTTGTAAATAAAATTCCGAGGTAACCGAATTTAAAGGTCTTATTAACTTTTTTAGTTAATAATAATAATGAAATTACTAAAGACACTCCTGAATTCTACGCTGATTTAATGAAGGAATGCTGTCAGAAAACAGACCTACTTTTCTAGAAATTAGGGAATATATTTCTTCGGAAGCAAATTGAATCAGCAGAAACCAAACGCCAAAAGATCATTAAATCAGAAAGTATTTAATTGATGAAAAAAATCATAAAAACCATCCAGAAATCTTTTACAAGCCATCTGCTAATCGAACAAGCCAATTCACACAATCTTTCATCAAATAAATCAAACCAACAAATGATACTTCAATTAATATTTTATCAATCTTGAATATGGTTTGCTTTGACAAGTGATGTTGATTGATGGTAACGGTGGCGATATTGGTAAAAGGAAATGTTTTGACAAATTTTGAATTATCTATTAGTGTCGACTTTTCTTTATATATATATATATATATATATTGTATTATTTAATAAACAATAAAGAAATTTTTATTGAATCAATTGTTACGTGTACGTTGTTAATGTTCTGAAAATTTAATAAATTAAATGTACAAACGAGACAACTGCCATTATAATCGTTGCGTCCTGCTGTTTGAATATGCTTGTTAAATAAAATAATGTGTGGTTTATTTAGATCGCTAATGGTTGAGAATACTGAACAACTTGACATTTGCTTCTGTAAAAAAAATATTAGCGTTAGTATTCGTTCAATTATATGTAATGCATATCGACTGAATATAGAAATAATACCTTTTGATCCTTCTTTCATGCACAACCTCTCAAACCTATATAAAAGAAATGAATAAAGATATTAATGTGCTATTTTCAATGACGTACGTTATTTGCTTTCGTAGAAGACAGACTTCTTCTTGATTGTTTGGATCACGTGATAACATACCAAAAATATTGGCACGACTTCTCGTATCAAAAACAATTTTAAATTGTGCATAGCGAAAAACAAACGCAGAAAAGGGGGTTTTCCTGTATTATTTTTATTTAATAAACCAATAACTGCAGGGAAAATTATTACCAAACATTTAATTTGTAAAATGAGCTATTTATTAAATGATAAATTTTTTTGCGCATGTTTTCGTTCCTACATGGATACTTACCCAACTCCTATACTAAACCTTGTGCAGTTTTTGTACCACGTCCAAATGTTTCAAAGGGTAGAGTTCTCTCTTGCTACAGGACAGCTAGTCATAAACTGTTTATTCTATGAACAAATGGCCTCACTGTGTAAGTCAAGTTGCTAAATTTTGGCCATTAATTAAGTTATTAATGATATGGATTTAATTAAAGCTCTGAATGGTTCGGTTCAGTTTAGGTTTACTCTTTGAACCGAACAGTTCGGAGCTTTAGGCTAGAAACCACTTGGCAGTCCCTGCCTGGCATTCTAATTTTGCACTGCTTATTTAGAACTAAATTTATTGATTTCTGGTCTAATAAACTTATCATGGCAGCCAGTGTACCCGGCGAAGGAGTTTTTTCTGGAGGCACAGACTTAATTGCTCAAAGGCGTTGTAGTTTAGAGTCTGAAACAATAAGAGTTTGCACGTGTTTAAAAAGTCGGTCGGTGGAGATGATGAATTATATATATGAAATGAAAAAAAATAGAACGTCTTTAGGGTTTATTCAAATTATTTGTTTTATTCGTTACGAATTTGAGCATTCGAATTACATTGAAAGTTTAGTCGAATAAAGCGAATAAAGCGAATAAAACTGATATAAGCGAGTAATTCGAATCGAATAGAAATTCTAAATGTACATTTATGAACAAGTAACGATAAAATAAAATAACCCAGACCTATAACCGACCAGCTGTATCTAAACATGGCATTATGTATGAAATGGATATCTAATTTTAGTATAAAAATTATAGATTATGTATGTATTTAGAAACAGAGATGCTTCCAGCATCTCTACTTCGCAACACACGTTCGCCAAAACCAAGCTACAAGTTATCACAAATTTTTGTAAGGTTATTATGTATATTTTTGCGTAGTTAACGAATTTAGAATGCCTGAAATTTTTAGGTCAAATGTAAACCGAAAAAAACCGAACCGTTCGAAACTTTAGATTTAATATTAGATGTTCAATCAATGATTATTATGGAAAGTTCAAATATAACTTAAGAATATTCATCAATGCAAGGTAAGAAGTAAGATAATATAATGACCTCACAATCATTATGATTTGGTCCCAGAATACAGTGTTTGTTGGCATCAACATATGTATGAAATCAAGTCAGGTGGAATCGTATTTTTTAATAAGTGTTTCAAGCTAACTTGTTTATTTTCGTACAAAATACAAAAACTGCTTTCTAAATGTCGAAGGAAATTTCTAGTTTTATATGAGTGATCTAAAGAAACTATCTTCCCATATTTGCATAGAGTTTTTTTGAATCCTACTCATTCAAGTTTTTTTTTTTTTTTTGAATTTAATCAAACTAATAGACCCGACCCTATAATTAACTTTACCTATTAAAATATCCGACAAAAATTTAATTATATCCAGCTGCAGCAGTAACTTATCTATGAATTTTCTCGGGGTCAATATCATAATAAATTATGCCAAAGCTTAAGCTATACATTTGCCCTTTCAATTACAAATGATGATACTAATACGAAATATACATACTACTAGTAGTAGTAGTATATATATATCTCGCATCAAAAATGCGGTTCTTCTGTATTTGTATTAGTATCCATTTGGTCCAAAATTTTATAGGAATAAATTTGTTGAAATGAGGTTTGACTGTATTTGTCTTATTCTAGTTTGAATTTATAATACATTGTATTTTCTTGCTTTGATTAATAAAAAAACGAGCTAGAGGTTGGAATCGTCCAAAAAATCCTTAGTCGACTATTAGTTGGTCAAAAATTTGACTAAAATTTTTTTTTTATAATTTTTTTTTTCTTTAATTTGCAAATTACGAATTCATTTCCATTTGAATCTTTCACTTTTTCAAAATACTTCCACACAAAACCATGTGTCAAGATTCGTTTTTTTAAAAGGTCTTCTGGAACCACCGCTTAAATCATTGGAACTTGAAGTCGATGAACTATTGGACCTTGTATTGGAAGTGTTTTATTAGTTCACATGTAAAATTATCATCAACAACACACTACTATTGTCGTCATTATCATATTGATGGTATTGTTACTCTTCCACATAGAAATTTTCCATTTTGAATGATAAAACACAAAAATCGCAATTGGTCAGACAATAATAATATTAGCATAGTATTAGTATTAGTATTAGTAGTATTAGTAAATAGTCAACTAAATAATCGGCTATTTTAGTCGATTCCAAACCTCTAAAAACGGCATAATAATAATAACAACAATAATATCATATATCAATTCTATTCTACTGACAGCCTCAAAAATTGTTTGTTGATGGAAGAAATCTCTTATCAAAAAAAGAAATTTATCATTTGAATTACTGGATACTGCCATTATATAATTATTATTATGCTAGATTTGGTTTTTATGAATTATTTTCAAGTCTGGTGATAAATTTCTATGATTTTAATTGAAAAAAAAAATTAGCAAATCTGCTTTAGACTATTCAACAGCTACCTGGAAACTTGAAACTTTTGATGAAAATCATGAATGGTTAATCAGTCATTGTAAACGTGATGATTGTTTTCAAAATCTTTACCACTTAGAATGCAGGTTTTATAACAGTAATAAATTATTTAATAAATATTCAAATCTTAAAAATACAAGCTCCTTGGGGTCCAATTATATTATTGAATACATTACAGTTCGATTATCAAATTAAAAAATTAAAATTATTTAAAAACTGCCATATCAATTCATTCAAGATCAATAATAACAAATATAGATTTTAATACCTAATTTCACTTCCAAGATTGAAGCTGAATATTTTTTTGTCAACCATTTCTATATGTCATTAAAACTATTGGAGAAATGTTCTGGATATCAATGATGGTAATCTGACTGTTGGGACAATTCTATTTAAAGTAATTAATTACATTATATTAAACTAAAAAGTCATTATTTAGAAAAAAGTTACAAGTATGTTTATAATTACAAGTTAAATCAGATTTTATCAAATTCTAATACTAACAAGGGATTAGAAAGGACCCATGCATTTAACAGGTTAATGAATTATTGATGAGTTCTAATCTTCTTTTAAAGAAGAATCCACTGCTTAAAAAGATTTATAATTGTGTTTTAAATTTATTCTTTTTAAGTCAGGCCCTAAAAATTTTCTTTATTGTTATAATTATTATGAATAAGTATCATAATAACCTAAATTTTGATATAATAAGTAATTTATATTTGCACAATTCTTTTCATTTTCATTATTATTATTATTATTATTATCATTGTTATTATATAATATGAATGTATAATTATTTTCACCATTGAAAAAATAGTTATGTTCTTGATTTAACCAAGAAATAGGGGAGTCTTTAAATCCATAGACATTTATTATTATCCAAGGTATAATTTTTAATAAATTATCATTGTTACTAATAAAATTAAAAATTAATTAATATATGATGACTTCTTAAATAATTAAATTGTCAAATTATTTAGTATTATATATTTACCAAATGTAATTAAATAAATTTAAAATCATTTTAGGTGGAATAAATCCACTCCAATTAAACATTAACATCTCATCAATTATTTCATGAGGTTCTGGTGGTTTATTAATAGAGATATAAGGATCAATGGTTTTATTATCATCTAAATTTATTCTAAAAAGTGAACCAGCAGTTAATAATAATTAACATATGATAATATATTATAATTATAATATGATACCTAGAAGATTCAATAGTGGACATTCCAATCCAATCATAAAATTCCATTAGGTTCTCGTTTAGAATTTCATTTTTTGAATTTGAATTATTTTTTTCATTATTTATTTCTTTAATAATATTGTTAAAATCTGGATTCATAATATTTTTAAGCTTTTTAAATTTCTTATTTAAATAAATTTTATTATGATTAGAATAATCTGGAAACTCAATTTCTTTTGTTTCATTTGTCACTAAAAAAAGAAAATAATATTAATAAGATTGAAATTAAATCATTAATAAATAAATAAATAAATAAATATTGCTTATTTTACCTGAATCAATAAAAAATATTATAAAAGTAAAATTATCATTTAAAGTATTATTAAAACACCATTTTATACGTTCATAACCTTTTTTTCCTGGAATCATTGATTTTTCTAATAAATTAATCTTTACAACTAAATAATAATAATAATAATAATATTTAATATTTAATATATAAAAATATTTAGTAATTTAATAGTTTAATTTACCAAATTTTTGAATATTTTTAAATTTTGTTTTTTTCCCTGGTAATCCAAGTTCTTCATATTTATCTTTAGTTAAATTTAATATTAAATTTCCTTATTATTATATTTAAAATAAATAATAATGTTAATGTTTAATTAAAGTAGCAAGTGGTAATAATTATTATTATAAAATAGTTTTACCTGTTCCATCAATTGCAACAACATTTGATAGTATCAAAAATTTTCATTATGGTGAAGCGACATTGTATGAAACACTTCGATTATATCCAGCTGTTCCAAAAAATTCCAAGGTAAATTATTTTATAAATATGGAATGAATTTTTTTTTAAAAAAAGAAATATTTTACATAATAATCATGTTTAAATTGTTTATCTATTTGTTAGGTGTGTGTGAAACATGATATTTTACCTGACGGTACACATGTATATCCTGGAGAAAATGTTGCTTGGTCACCTTGGTGTATGGGTAGAGATAAAAGCATTTGGGGTGAAAATGCATTACAATTTTATCCTGATAGATTCTTAACTTCTGAAGGTGTATTGAAACCATCTCAATTTAAATTTCCTGCGTTTCATGCTGGTCCAAGAATCTGGTAAGTTTTCAAAATTAAACTTTATAACTTGCATCAAATTTTTATAACTTGCATTAAAATCATTTACATATTTATATTATATTTATATAGTTTAGGACAACAATTTGCTACTGTTGAAGCATTAACATTGGCTACATCAATGTTAAAAAAATTTAGGTTTGAACTAATACCTGGTCAAGAATCACCTCCACCATATATTTCTTCCATAACCTTACCAATGAAAAATCCTTTATTAGTAAAGGTTTATCATCGTGATTCTTAAATATAATCTTTTAGTAAAAAATAAAATGGTTTTTTTTTTTCTTTCAATAAAAATAATGAAATTGTAAGATATAAATCAAAAATTCATTTTTTGGTTTATCGGTTTTTGTACAGCTTTAGCTTTAATATTACTCAGAATTTGGTTTTTTTTTTAAAGAAAATTTCCTTTTACTATTTTAGGTTGATGGTTTAGATGGTAGTGGGATTGCTTCCTCTTTGTCTGTTCTATCAAAATCTTAAATATAAAAATTATTACAATATAATAATAATAATAATATTGATTCTTTTAACATATAAAAAAATTTTTAAATATATTAATTATTAATACGTTCATTTGTATATTATTTATTTACATTCATTTAAGAATTTTTGTTAATTAAATCTTCTAAATTAATATTAATGTTTAAATCCTTGTTATTATTATAACAATTAAAAAACTCTTTTAAAACATTATCAGCATCACTTGTTTCTGGAAATTGTTCAACTAATAATTTTTGTAAAGAAATCCAGAATTGTGAATCTTTAATTTTATTAATACCTGAATTAGAAAGTTGAGAATCATTTTTTGATACTGGTGGTGATGATGATGATGATGATGCTTTTGGAGAAGATGAAGAATCAGCAGAAACAAGATTACTTTCACCGCCAGTAGTAGATCCAGGTTTATGAACCAAATGAATTACAGTATCATTCGTAATACCATATTCAAACAAAGTTTTAGTATCAATTAAAGCTTTGCCTTTTAATATTAATCTTTGATTTAAAGGTGTAAAGGAAGTAATTTTTTGTAGTTTTTCTTTTAGATTATAAATAGTTTCTGAATTTTTTATCTGTACGGTATGTGTTAGATTTCCTTTTAATGATTTAACTGTAACCTGAATTGGTGTGTCTAATTTAAAAAAGATCAAATTTTTATTAGAAAAAAATTTATTTATATATATATTTTATATTTAATTTGAAATAGTTTCTTTGCCTTTTTCTGTTATTTTACTTTTTGAACTTGTAGGGGCGCTAGGTGTCTAAAAAAAATTATAATGTAAAAAAAAAAATAATAATGTCGATATATAATAAATAGTAATAATAATACCTTGACTATTGGTTTTGGACGTGTTTGTGCAGGTGGTGAAAAATCCTTGGGATATTTTACTTGACGTGCACTTAATGTTTCTAAAAATTGAGAAACAAAACTCGTTTCATCTACTAAACTCATATTTCAGAAATTTTTTTTTTAAAATTTAAAAAAAAAAAATTTGTAAATTTTATTACATCATATCATGATCATTCAAAATATTCACAATATTTGGAACCGGTTTAGTATTAGGTGATTTTATTTAATAAATAATTTCATAAATCCTCACTTATTTCATCACAATAATATAATAAAATATGACAACGACAAAGGAAATCAATCGGTTAATGGGTGTTTCATATGAAGTTGACAATGATAATAAGTAATAGTGATGATGATCAACAACCAGAAAATAGTAGTACTACTATTCAACACTCGATACTTTTCCTGGAGCTATGTTGCAACAAATCATATCACCTTCTAGCTATCCTTCAACTTTTTATGAAGATTTTACTTAAGAATATGTGTATCTACTGGTATAATTTTTCACTGATAAAACCAATCACTTATACAAATGATGGTGGTTGGGGTTGTATGTTAAGATCTAGTCAATCTTTACTTGCAAATGCTTTACTAGTTCAATTTTTAGGAAGAGGTATATAAAACAATCTTAGATAAATAATGGCAAATTTTATCATCAAAATAACTATATGATAAATTTTATATTGGCATAAAGGAGAGAAAACTTGGGATAAATGTGCAAAATCTGGCACAAGAACTATTTTTTTAATTATTGAATTTTAGATTATAAGGTGGTTTATAGACGATGATACGGGCCCAATAGACTAGACTAAAATTCGTTTAATATTTATATAAATGCCATTCACGATCTTCACAATTATATTTATATTATTTCAGAGCGTTAGTAGAAAATGTTACAGATGCACAATTAAATGTATATATAGCTACTGACGGAGTAGTATATTAAAATGATGTTTACAAGTCAGCCAAAAATAATGGTTTAAATAAAGGTTCTCAATTAATTTTAATTTTGATATCTATTCGGTTAGGAATAAATAAATAATTTAAATCCAATATATAATGAAGCTCCTAAGGTAACTTTTTAGGGAGGTTTTTTAAATGGAAGGAGCTTTTAAATATAATTATTAATTGATTGCAGGGTAATAATTATTGTTATAATAATTTTAATAAATCCTTTCTTAACATGTTTTATACATTTATATTAGTGGAAAACCATCATCATCATCTTGTTACTTTATTGGATCATAAGGTTTAGGCTTTACAAAAATGATTTTTATTAATTATTAAAAAATATTTATTAATATTCTAATTAATTGTTTGTTTATCAAGACGATGAACTTTTTACCTTGATTCACATTATTCTAGACCAGCATTAGAATTAAAGTCAATTGATGAATACACAGAAGAAGTGAGTAAAAAAAAAATAGTAAAGAAAGAACATTATGAAATTATTTTGTTATTCGTAATAATTTTACTCTTTTTTTTTTAATATACATAAAATTATCTAGGAAATGTTACTTATAATTGTGAGTCACTGCGTAAAATTTCAATTTCACAATTGGATCCATCCATGACACTTGGATTTTATTGTAGATTTTGACGATTTTTGTCAAAGAGTTGAAAAGGTAGTAGATAAAAATTTTATTTTACTACATAAAATGCTAATATACAATATGCATGCTTTCTGTTTTATATAAATCAACCAATCAACTTAATTAATATATTACTTTAAAATATATATTTCTTTCCTTTCCTCTCTCACAATGATTATTATAATTTTGTATTTTGTACATAACACGATAACAAGTAAACCTTATTACACTAAATCAGGAAGATCCAAATCCTCCCTATAGCTAATTGTGGCTTCATAGAAAATCATCATTGCTGCTGCTAGACATATCCTGCCACAGTTAAAATGGCAGCAGAGAGGTCAGTAAGTCCCCCTTATAAATGGATCAGGTCTCTC